CGTGCAGATATATGAAAGGATCATCCGTCTTCAAGAAGCCAAAACATTCTAAAGCATCACTGCGGCTGGCCTGCAAAATGTGGTTCATTCATAAATAGACAATTTTTTATCAATCATGAATACAAAAGACATCTTTATAGTAAAAAACTCATCCTAATCAACAGAAGGCGATTTTCATTATTGTCTACACTAAGAGCTGAAATTTCTGAATGTATCTTCGAATTACAAGGTCCATCAAACTAAACCCATAATTAATCTCCTCTAAGAGGAGCTAGCTGGTTTTCCTAGCATCTTTTGAAAAGCCCCATTTAGAGGAGAGAACATGAACATAATGAACTCCGAATTAGCGAAAGTGTGTCCAATAACTGAGCTCCCAAATATGGTAAGCTAGTGGCATTCTTCCAACTTGAGATTTCATCAAATATTCCATTTTTCATTTTTCTTTTGTTCTCTTTTTTTTTTTTGTCAGCCAACATAATCTCAACTTGATGTCACCATTTTAAAACTCCGGGCTCAATCTCTTTCCCATGGCATAGCAACAGTTCACCAATTGCTTCATCTTTCTTTAATTTTTTAGCAATTCAAAGTTGTGGAAAAAGCTACACAATTTCTTTGGGTCCAACGCTCCTAATAATTGAGTCCATCCAATCTCTTCTCAAAACCCATAATTCTTAATCACTCGACATCCAATAGAAAAAACCCTACAATTTATGAGGATTGCTTACAGCATCCAAGTAGAGCACAAAAGTCATCTTTCTCTAGTTTTCCAGCAATTTGAATTGATGCAAAAACAACACTATTTCTTTGGATCAAACGTTCCCAATCATCAAGCCCATCCAATCTCTTCTCAAAACCCATAATTCTCAATCACTCAACATTCCAACAGAAAACACTACACTTAAATGAGGATTGCTTACAACAGCCAGGAAGAGCATAAAAGCTATCTTCTTCATCACTTTATTGCTCCAACTTCCACTCATCCCTGTTCATCTTATTCATTATAATCCCAAAATTCCCACATCGTTTCAGCCTCCAAATCTGATTAAATCAGCCCCTCAAATTTCAATTTTAATCAGTCCAGATTGTCTTTGCCATTAACTTTGCAATACTGTGAACTCACTCTCACACAGTCACATTTGTCCTAAATCTTATTTTTTATTCAGATTTTACAAATATTGTACACTTGATTTTCTTTGATCTTCTTCTGGAAACTGCCAGGAGTGAAAATATTAGCTTTTTTGAGGCTGCTTATCCAGTGCCTCAAATCTCAAACAATGAGGTGTTCCAAAGGTAGTTAATGGGCAGACAAAGACAATAAACCCACACACTCTTAATTCCAGAATTAGGCATCAGATACTTCAGCTGGCATTGCACCAACTCAAATAATACAACAATAATCATGCCCAATCTCGTGTCACTACCATGTGGTCCGTGACAAGGGTCTATTTTATTATTATTTTATGTGATTATTGCTGGTTTATTTGATGTTTTTTATTTTAAAGAGTCAATCCTTAAAATTATGTTCCAAGAGAATTTTTAAATTGACATCAAAGTGAATTTGACTCTCCAAATTTAGATTGTCAAACTCAATCTTTATAATTAAATGTATTCAAAATATTTCAATTTTCAATTGAAGAAAATAATATAATAATTTGAAAGGAAGTTAGTGAAAATAAAAGATATGGAAAAACAATAAATTTTGTTGAGAATGGTAAAATTAAGTGTTATTTATAGAGAGTCCGTTACAGTACTAAAAAAAATTTAACTAGATGCTTTCCAAATTGTAAAATATACAATTTAAAAATACAAACTCTCTTGTAGATGCTTTAAAACCGAATACATAGAAGCAATACGATAATAGAAACCAACAACATTCAATAACATCCAATACCGAATAACAACAAAATTGAAAGCCTAATTTTCACCATTCACTGTCCACGTTACAACAAAATTATACAATAATTTCCATCGTTTACTACCAACGTCGCAATAATGCCACAAAATAAAATTCACCTTTCATTACCCACTTCTATACAGTATCAATTTCTTCATTTTGGTTGAATCACAGTGTTCCTCCGTTCAAGTGGACAGTCGGTTTCTCTCTCAACTTGTTTCTCAAACAAGAACATTGCTAGGAGTACATCACACCATACATAAGGGTCTACACCCTTCTCACATGGGGGGTAGGACCCGCTCGAATAAAAAAATATTATTTCAATGGGTCCCACCCCCCATGTGAGGGGGGTGTAGACCTTTATGTACAATGATTGGTGTAAAAGTAGAAAATTCCCTCAAACAAATGGAGCCTTGAAAGAGAATTTAAAATATTTACCGAACAGTCCAAAAATTACGCAATAACGACGGCCATTAGAAACCATATTGAGTCATGGCTTTTACGATTCAAGCAATACTTTTAGACCATGACATAAAGGGACGTGTAAAGTGTAAACATACATTGAATTTGAGCATATGAGAGGAAGAAATTTTGATGACTTTAGTTCCAAAATAGCTTAAGGACCTAGTATTGTTGCCAAAAAAAATAAAAAGAAAAAAACAGTAACTAAGAAGGATACATATGGCGTAGCAATCTTGAGAAACTTTCAAAAAAATTATCGTTACAAACATCCTCGCAATCTTGACGTTCATCCACTGATTCAAGCACCCCAATCTCCAGCTAAACGTTGATATATTCCCTGATGACTTCTATGGATCATTGGTTTGGCACACTACAACAGCCCGTGCAGATATATGAAAGGATCATCTGTCTTCAAGAAGCCAAAACATTCTAAAGCATCACTGCGGCTGGCCTGCAAAATGTGGTTCATTCATAAATAGACAATTTTTTATCAATCATGAATACAAAAGACATCTTAATAGTAAAAAACTCATCCTAATCAACACAAGGCGATTTTCATTATTGTCTACACTGAGAGCTGAAATTTCTGAAGGTATCTTTGAATTACAAGGTCCATCAAACTAAACCCATAATTAATCTCCTCTAAGAGGAGCTAGCTGGTTTTCCTAGCATCTTTTGAAAAGCCCCACTTAGAGGAGAGAACATGAACATAATGAGCTCCCAATTAGCGAAAGTACGTCCAATAACTGAGCTCCCAAATATGGTAAGCTAGTGGCATTCTTCCAACTGAGATTTCATCAAATATTCCTTTTTTCCTTATTCTTTTGTTCTCTCCTTTTTTTTGTCAGCCAACATAATCTCAACTTTATGTCGCCATTTTAAGACTCGGGGCTCAATCTCTTTCCCATAGCATAGCAACCAAAGATAAAACAAACTCTAAAAGCCGACGCGACATTCCGCGATTCAAAGTGCGATAAACAGTTCACCAATTGCTTCATCTTTCTTTAATTTTTAAGCAATTCGAAGTTGTGGCAAAAGCTACACAATTTCTTTGGGTCCAACGCTCCTAATAATTGAGTCCATCCAATCTCTTCTCAAAACCCATAATTCTAATCACTTGACATACAATAGAAAAAACCCTACAATTTATGAATATTGCTTACAGCATCCAAGTAGAGCACAAAAGTCATCTTTCTCTAGTTTTCCAGCAATTTGAATTGATGCAAAAACAACACTATTTGTTTGGATCCAGCGTTCCTAGTCATCAAGCCCATCCAATCTCTTCTCAAAACCCATAATTCTCAATCACTCAACATTCCAACAGAAAAAATACTACACATAATGAGGATTGCTTACAGCAGCCAGGTAGAGCACAAAAGCTATCTTCTTTATGACTTTATTGCTCCAACTTCCACTCATCCCTGTTCAACTTATTCATTATAATCCCAAAATTCCCACATCGTTTCAGCCTCCGAAAATGATTAAATCAGCCCCTCAAATTTTAATTTTAATCAGTCCAGATTGACTTTGCCATTAACTTTACAATACCGTGAACTCACTCTCACATAGTCACATTTTTCCTAAATCATATTTTTATTCAGATTTTACAAATATTGTACACTTAATTTTCTTTGATCTTTTTTGGGCAACTGCCAGGAGTGAAAATATTAGCTTTTGTAAGACTGCTTATCCAGTGCCTCAATCTCAAACAATGAGGTGTTCCAAAGGTAGTTAATGTGCAGACAAAGNGGTGTTCCAAAGGTAGTTAATGTGCAGACAAAGACAATAAACCCACACCCTCCTAATTCCAGAATTAGGCATCAGATACTTCAGCTGGAATTGCACCAACTCAAATAAAACTTCAGCCCAACTAATTTTAGTCTATACAACTGACACTAGGGCTAAGCATAAAGGTATCATTTTTTTCCCTTTTCACATGATTTTTTATGTCAGTTTTGGTCTACTTATTCTGATCACTAATCAGCATATATAGATAACATACAATTTCCAACTGTTCCAATAATGTGCGATCTATGGTAAATAGGTGGATAGAATTTAACTTCTATAAGCTTTAAACAAACGTGGCACTAGTGCAAAATGCTAAGGGGACATAAAAATGGTCATTCAGATAATACATAAACAGGAGGCACAGGCATAGCAATTAAGGGTCGAACAAGTTATTCATAATGATCACCTAGAAAGCAGTTGGTTCTGTCAGTATTCCGATGATACACTTGGGAAGAATTTGGCTTGCATTTTTAGATCTAGAAATTTACTCATCTTTCTTAAAAGAACTGAACATATCCAAAGGGTCATGTTCAGTTTAGAGAGCAAAATTGAGAACCTGAGGTTTCAAGTGCTCTGTCAGTCATTGCAATAGAGTTTAGGGACTCTACTTTCTATTAGATTAATAAAGAGCAATCATTCTATCAGCTTCTGGCATACGTCTCCAAATCACACTCAAAAGCTGCAGAACTAAAATCCTGTTCTAACAAATGCTGAATGATTGTCCACCCAAAGTTGGCAATAATTAATTGGATAACAATAATCAATACAAAGATTTAACGTATCTGAACTTGCTACAACATATAGGTGGAGAAGGCACCTAGAGCATATTACAATTATGTAATAAAGTTTTACACTATATGGTCATGGAATTTCCAGTAATAGATAATATATATTATCAAAGAGCATTTGGTTCACATGAACAGCTTACAACTAAGGGATTTTTACAGCCTTAAAACACAACGGGCAATTTCTGTTACATACCCTGGTGGTCGCCTCTCAATCTTTCAGTCAAATTTGCCAAAGTACCACAAAGTCGTGCTTCAGCAGCTAATGAACTAACCACTTCCTCTAAAGATCTCAACTCATCATGAAACTCTGAATGCAAAACCAAAGAAGAGAAAAGCTCGTCTAAAACGAATCCAAGACATTTCACAATGCTTTCAAGAGCCGGAACCCAATCGCATGCCTTCAACCCCAACATAGATGATGCTTTAGGACAAGGAGCCACTTGAGGGAATCTCTCATATTTCCTGAGCCACTTCCCCAAATATTTAATCAAAGCCATCATCTCCTCACCATTCAACTTACTAACACAAGCTGAAAATATCACCTCGTCAAGATCACGAGATGCAAGCAAATAATGCAAACACAATTCCGACACAGTGAATTCATCATGCGCCACCATGAGCAAAAACGAGGCCTCCCTCGCCAAACTGTTTTGTTTCCCACCAAGTCCCCTATCACTCACCTTCTCGAAGGCTAACAATGCTTGGTTCTCCCACTCCTTCCTCACGCTAACCAGACTCTTATATCCATCCCGAGGCGGCAATAAAAAATACTTCAAAATGCAAATCAAATCATATGTCTGGAGATCAGATAAATGCTTCACACACAAAACAACTAAATCCGACCTCCGTTTTTCTATCAAATTGTGAACCAGATTGGATATACACAAATGTTCAATAAACCCATTAATTATCAAACTCTCTAAAGTATCCCAAACCTCCAAAGCAACACAAGCCTCTAAAATTAAGCTCTTCACATCCCTACCTATGAAAAACCCTAACTTCTCAACCAACGTACGAGGATACCCTTCGTCTGACTTATCAACACCTACGGAAATCCCAACTTTCTCCCCAATTTTCTCCAAGTAAGAAGTAAACATACCCAAGAATTCGTCTTTACTAAACGTGTTGGTGTTTTTCAACTTTCTTTTCAACTTCTTGAAAATTTTTTGCCCTGCTTCGATTATTTCAGCATCTGTTTGCGATATTTCCCATCCTGTAACCCGTTTAATACGGTTTTCTTCTTTCGGTTCATCGGTTTCAGGCTTTAGTTTGAGGAGAATAGGGTCCGTGTTGAACAAAATGGGGTAGTTGGAATCTGGGTCGGGGTGGGTCAGGACAGTGGATGAAGCTTTAGTAATTACTTCCAGCAAAGACATTATGGTGGCGGTGGTGCCTCTGCGTCGGTAGCGTGGGCGGCGCAAAAAATAGGAGGAGAAGTCGAAAGGATGGAGGTGGTGAGTTCAATTTGGCGGCTGGGTCGCTGGTAATAGGTGTTTTTATGTGAATTGGGCCAAGCCAACATATTTTCGGGCCCATAAATAGTTGATGGTTTTAGCATTCTTTTCTCACCTTTTCAATTAATAGCTGTGCTTTTCAGCTTTTGTGAGTTTTATAAGTGAAAGATATTACTCCTTAAAATTATAAATTTATAATTGCTTTTTTATTTTTCAGTCACTCCACAGTCCACTCAGTATTTTTTATTAAGAAAAGAATAAAATATAAAATTAGGCCTAACTAAATTTGGAAACTGAACAATCTCTTTTAGACATTTCTTGATATTTGCTGATTTTTTACCATTTAGTTATTTAAAATATATAATAATTTTAGTCAAAATGAACAATTAGTTTTCACCATATATTTTATTGGATTCAAAATTTTTCGACCACGTATTTAATTATTTTTTATTAAAATTTACTAAAAATCTGATTTTAATTTCTTGCCAAACGTGCTAATATCATTCTCTTTCATCTAACATACATCTCATCCTAAATTTTGTGTAGATAATCCATGTCACAAATTGGCCCCAAATTTTGAAACCTTTCAAAAGTCCCCAAAATCCTTGTTTTTCTTTTCTTTTTCCCCCTTCTTCAAGTGTACATGACTCGTGGATGTTATGCAATTTCGAGCATACGCAACATTGCCAACACTTCACCGGTTGGATGCATTCTCTTTCAAGTTTAACATGTCAAAAATATTTTATATAAGTGAAAACATTTTTATCATTTCCAAAATCCTGAATTCGTAAGTGTCATTTTTCCTCAAGAAAAAATAACTAGTATATCATTCCATTAGCACACAGATACAACCAATAGGCAGGCTTCACAACCAACAACTAAAGTAAACCGTAAACGGCTAATGCACTAACCCATAAAAGAATTTATAAACTCATTTGATATTAGGATTCAACTTAAAGTCTTTCTTAAGGGAAGACTGTGTATTTGAATTATGGGGACACAACATAAATTCGTGAGGGATAAGATGGACTTAAGTTCTCCCAAAATGCACAGTTCGTAAATTAATGGCTTGAACATAGAAGTTGGATTGTTAGGAATTCCCAAGATTTGAACACATGACCCCCTTAAGAGATAAATAGCTTATAACCCAAGGCAACCACATGTCCACTTTACAAACTTAGTAGAATTTTAGTCACATTCAAGGTATATAGAAAACCAACCCTAAGATTATCTTACATAAAATTAAGTGAGGACAATCCATCTAGAATGCAACGGAAAGTTAGGACTGAAGCATTGTAAATAGTGGTTGTGATGGCCGCAACGCCATCTTTATCACTCCTAATTCTAGGCAATAAATACTTACGATAGTCATAGGATCTTTACTATACGAGTGCCACTAGGTCAATGTATAACACCTTTGATTGATAGAAATCAACGAACACGCATCAAGCCAGAGGCAACAAAGAAAACAACAAAAAATTAGAAATGAAATACTAGATAATGGAAGAAAAAGTGAAGCCACACATCGCTACCACGAAGAAGAAAAAAAATATAGAGATCTTAAAACTAATAGAAACTTAAAAGTATTGAGGAAAATTGAGGTTGCCCGATGTATTAGGCTTGATTGTTGGTGGTGTAGGGAACGTCGGGGTTGAATAGAAGAAAATTATCGTTCGAATTTTTTCAATTATTTTCCTCTTTTCTTTTTATTACTTATTCAATTTTTTATTTATCTAAAATAATGGTAAAATTTCTTCATAATAAAATTTTGACTTCTTAGGTTGTGATTAATAACCAATGCACTAATCAGTTAAAGGTCGGGTTCAATTTGTGAAAAAATAAAAGGTTAGGGACAAAGTTGAAACAGTAGGATAGTTGAGGATGATGTACGTAATTTACCCTGCCAATAATATCTCATTCAATCATATATGTACGTATCCAAGTGAATCGCCAAAAAAACAGTGGGGACTGTAGATGAAGTGACAGACGCCAACCCAATCTATACATACACTATACATACAAAAATCCAACAATATATAAAAATTCCTTTCGATTCACGAGCTCCACACCCTCAACCTAAAGGCCTTCTCTTTCAGCCCCCTCACAGGTATCGTAAATATCCTTGTAAACCTGCATAAAAACATGTATGTTTTGCTCAATTAGAATGATTTAAAGTAGATCTCGATTGGGGAAAGAGTTTCCCTGAACCTTGATTGTTACAGACGAACCCTGTAATTCCTGTTGCTTTTCTTTTCGGGTTTATCTAGTTGATGATAAATATTCTGTCCCTTCTGGGTATTTATAAAAAAGTCATAAAATGCGAAATTCAGCTGAATTGTACGGTTATTAGATAATGTTTTATTTAGTTGGTTTTAGCTGTCCATATTCTGGAAATGGGCAACACCAATTTTGGTTTGTAAAGAACATTTAATTTCCTCCATCTGGGAAAATTCAGTCTAGATTTGGTTTTTCTGTCATTATCAATTATTCTGTTGTGTATCCGAGCGGCATGATTGCAAATCGAACTTATTTAGATTGCTGATGAAAGGTTGTTAGAATGATTTTATGCTGTTTTTCTCCTTTGCTGTTTTTTAAATTAAATAATTATGATTGTTTTTGCTGCTGCGGTTAATTGTTCTGATATGTGGATAAGTAGGATGTCGACTCCGTCTAGGAAGAGACTCATGAGGGATTTCAAGAGGTTGCAGCAGGATCCGCCTGCGGGTATTAGCGGTGCCCCTCAAGACAACAATATTATGCTTTGGAATGCTGTTATATTTGGGTGAGCTTGAAGATTCCACGTTCATTAATGTCAAACTGGTTTTTTCGTAATTCATTGTTTTATATGACTACATTTTTTATATATTCTTTGTATTGTGATTTCTTAAGTATCGCTGCATAACCTGTTATGTGGTTTCTTTTCTGGTGTGCATTTGCAGTCCTGATGATACACCTTGGGATGGAGGTGAGTCCTTCTCCTTCTAGGATTTTGCTCATCTCTTATGTATTTTGTTCACAACTTTTGCTATTTTATTCGTATAAAGTCACAGTAATTTCGTTGTCTTTTATATTTATTATCTGAAACATGCTTCCCATTCATTCCCTTACACCATTTACTGGATGGATAGTCCTCATGCAACATAAACTTAAATGATGCCACTATTTACCGTCTCTTGTATTTTCAAGATAAAAATCATTTGGAAGACTTTAACAATTGCTGATTGCTCATTCCGTTAAATGAATTCTATTGGTCCTATTTTAGAATTCTAATCTTCACCAGAAGATACAGAATGAAACACTTAATAAGGAAAATACTTTTTTCTTGACCACTTACGTGAAGTTTTACAATGTAATTACAAATTACAAAGAAAAGGAAAATGGTTCTGAGCTGTTTCGCATGAATTTAGATAGTTCAGTCCTATCTTTATACTGTGTACCTGTGGTGATCATGCTGCATGGGGTAGACTATTTGGATTTTGATTTGCCTATTGAGAATGTCTTCTTTAGTTTGGGTTAGAGTAATTTGTGGAAGATACGAGGACTACTAATGATACATGATGAAAGCTTGACTTGCAATAGTTAGAAAGTGCATAATGTTGTGGTGGTTTTTGGATTTTGTGGCTCCAGGCTGTATATAGTAGAAAGCTTCACCAAACAGTTCTAGTCTCTCTCTGCGATTTCTAAAATTAGAAAATAAATTGAAAATAAATGCATGGCTGCAGGACTGGTTGGATATACTTATAGAAACGTCCATGCTTCACTGCATCCTCCTAACATATTCAGAAATATTTGATATCTCATGCCTAACATAAAAGAAATGGAAAGTATTTGCTGCAACAATAAGACATTCTTAATCTTTTGAAGTCTGACGTTTGCTTTTGTTGATTAAAACAGCAACTATTTTATTTTATTTTATTTTTATAATGTTGTTGCAACCCAAATGTCATAAATGTTTTTTGAGTGTGTCAGGTACGTTCAAGTTAACACTTCAATTCACTGAAGACTACCCAAACAAGCCTCCAACAGTGCGATTTGTTTCGCGGATGTTCCATCCCAATAGTAAGATCCGTATACTGTAATTTTCTGTCTTAAAACTTGCTTTAGAGCATTAAAATAAACCATAGCTTAACGTGACCTTTTACCTTTCAATTTCCGAAGAGTTTCGCAAACAGAAGGATATGTGTAGCTTAATGTGATCTTTGACTTGGAATTTTATCTTTTGATCAGTTTATGCAGACGGAAGTATATGTTTGGATATCCTTCAAAATCAGTGGAGTCCAATATATGATGTTGCGGCTATTCTTACTTCTATTCAGGTACGTGGCTATGGTTGACTTTTGCACGTGATGTTGTTAGAATCTTCTTGTTCAAAATTGAAATTGGATGAAAGAAGAAAAGAAAAAAAAAAGGAAAAATATAAGCCATTTAGGGTTGCTGCCGTATCTAAACATGCAGGATTTTTTCAGGGGCCAAGTCTAAAGCCATGCGGTGGCATGACTTTAGCCTATACGGCCGCATGGTTGAAATTTCTGCCCATTGGCAGATTTTTTAATTTCAAAAATAGTGTCCTTTGGCTAATTGCTTGCATCTTCTCATGTAAAGATGGTACCAATTCGTATAGGGATGATTGGAGGCTATAAATACACGAAAGTATTCATCCCTAAACACAATAAAATCATTTCTATCATCATCCAAGTTATTGAGAAAATTCATTACTCTCTACATATTTATTTTATTGGTTTTCACTTTGTTCAATTTGGAGATACTCCTTTTACTTTGGTGTTCTTCATCTAAGGCTTGTTTAATCCTTCAACTATTTGCCGGAAATCCTTAAAGCAATTAGAAAAGGAGGCAAATATCGTTTCAGGATAAAGTTTATATGTGTTCAAGTTTTCTTCAATATCAAACTATTCTTTAATCTTTTTTCATCTTCTTCTTTGTTTCTTTCCATTGTTGTAAATACTCCAACAAATGTTACTGCTTTAAGGGATCTGCACTGTCAAATAAGACGTTAATTTAGCTACCTTCTGTGGAGATTGGCATCTTTTAATTGAATAGAACTGCAGATGGAGTGTGCATTACGGTGCTTACTTTTTTAACATTAAAAGTGGTGCTAAATGTTCATATGATTTACTGATTTGAGAACGTGTTATTGCTGAGGTGTTGCATTTTCTTTAATGTAGACAACAGGTACTGGTTACATTTAATTTAATATGATTGGATGTCTGTAATTGAATTCATCAATGCTTTGGAACTTTTTATTGTGTTTCTGATTTTCAATTTTTATTCCACTACTATTACAATTTGATGGTTGTATATGTGCATAATTTATCCTATTATAATATTTTTCATGTACCGTGGCAAATCTTGCTGTTACACATGCTAAGTCTTGAGTATAGTAGGTTTTCAATGTACTTTCTCCATCTCAAGTTGAATACGCCAGTTTAGCTTTGCAAAACTGTATTGGATAGAGCTGCCATTTTTGCCTCCTGATGTGTATAGAAACTGAATGTGGATTTGTCTCCATGTACAGAACGGGATAAGAGTGAGATGTGTTTGAAAAAAATCAATTTAACCGAGTCTACTTAAGAAAGCTGGGCATCTTCAACCATCTTTTATCTGATCAAGAACTTTCTCTTGCACATAGCCATGCATATGGAATAAGTTCCCTAGATACAACCAGGGTTATTTTCTTGCAAGTCATTTACATAAAGTGCAGCTCACGAAACTGAATTACCATTGTGTAAAGTGTATATTTGCACCCTAAAGTTTCAATGATAATAGAATGTAGACGTCGAAGGAAGGAATTCATCCACACTTTTACTGATTGATTAGCAGGGAATACGAAATATCTCCTTTTGTTTTCTTGCATAAAGGATCCATATTTGGATGCTGTATTGTTAAGGGAAAAACTAACCACTACTGGAAGATATATACAAGAGGTTTGTTGAGTATACTTTCCTTTGTCAAGAGACATGTTACAATTCAATGTTGCTTCATACCAACCTTTGTTGTTCAGTTATTTCATATATCGCTGAAGTATGTGTCTTAATCTCAGAGCCTTCTGCTTTCTGTGAATGGTTGTCTCGTGTATCCTTATGGTTAGCTTATATTTATTAATTGTTATATAGAACATTTTGTGGGTCTAACTAATTGCATGTTTTTCGTTATTATTGCAGTCTTTGTTATGTGATCCGAACCCTAATTCCCCTGCAAATTCTGAAGCTGCTCGGATGTTCAGTGAAAACAAGCGAGAATATAACCGCAGGGTAAGGGAAATTGTGGAGCAGAGCTGGACGGCTGATTGACCCTTGATGAATACATGCAATATAACAGTGAATGAATCAATGCAATAGTTTGAAACCTACTTATAAGTAAGATGTACCACTTGAGCAAACTTTTTCGATTGGGACACAAAGTTGTAGTCCTGTCATGTATAAGACGTTGAGTTGTGTCCTGTCATGTATATTTAGAATGTTATGCATTGATTTTCCTTGGAATTGTAATGCACTTGCTCTCTAAATCCATGTTACTTGGCAACGTGCTTTATTATTATCATCTCTATCTTTTGTGGCTTATAAATTGTGCAGCAATGAGGTAGATAATCAGTTACATGAAAATTCTTCAATGCTATTGTACTCAAAGAGAAGATATTCGAATTTAATGTAACACATCTTTAAACTTATCAACTTTCTTTCAACTAAATACAGGTCAAATAATATAAATATAATTGTGTAGTAGTTGATATAAAAGTACAGTTTCTCAATAAGTTAATACTTAACATACGTCAATTGCACCAGTCTGTAATTTATTTTATTTTTAAGAAAAATCAGGTTTTAGAAATAATAATAACAACGTATTATATACAAAAATAATGTATAATGGGTCATAGATCTAAACTGAAGAAACTTTTAAAAGCCACATATAAACCCCTACCAATCAAACCGCATTGTTGAGATATCAGTCTTGGGGAAAAAGGTTGTATAAAAAAGGACAAAGGACAAGGAAAAGATAGCAAATAAAAGTATTCGAAATCAAGTTCCAAATGCAAGCATAGGCAGGTCGATTCACTGATGAATGCATCCACGAGTATCTTTCGCGTCAGTAGGTCACGTGCTTGATGTCGTTGTCTTCTTAAAATCAATTTTGTCAACCTTAACCTCTCCATCAATGAGTTCGTAGACATATACAACAACACGCAGACCATCAATGTCCATGAGAACAAAGCTTGGATTAACATCGTAGGTGATGCTACTGTAGGAACCTGTTGCCGACCCTGGATTTATAACAACTCCGGCCTCATGTTTGTATGCTGTAAACTGATGGGTATGACCGGTCACAAGAATGTCTACGTCCAGCTGCCTCTGGAGCATGGCCAGCGAGTCCAGGTCCCCCCATGGAATAACCTTCAAAAAAGTAAATAATAATGAATCAGTATATTACTTTCTTGTGAGAACTGTTCCGGTTTTTATGGTTCTCTTTCTCTATCATCCCAACAAATGTTTTGATCAAGAGTGCATGAAAACTAATCAAAAGAACAGTTAAGGAGGCAAATGAAAGCTTCTAGACTCTGTATGATTCGAAAAGAGGTACTACTATGTATTGTCACATGTCACTGATCAGTCCACCGTAGGGCACGGCTCAACTGTGAGGTAAAAAAACACCAACAGTTCATGTCTGATGATCGGGAAAAACGAATAACAATCCTAACTCCAAACAGGACAAAGTATCGCAAGAAATGAAATCTCACCTGATGACCATGGCACACTCCAAGCTTAAACTGACCGATACTAAGTGTCTTCGTCTCCGGATAACGTGTCTCCTCATCATATTCGCCTCGAGCAATATGCAAGTCTGGGCAAACAGTCTTCAAGTAGTCATGAACCTCCTGCAAAATATAATCACATAGTTGAAGTCATTCCATACTTAACATGTTTGCTTTTTCCCTGATCATTGAATCAGATGTACATATAGAAAATGTATCCCTTGAGATCTGGAATAATGAGAATCCTACTAAAGAGAGCTGTGATTGTAACTCATAATGCCAAAACGATTTGGTCAAACATGTTGATTAGAGAAGACAAATGAACTGCAAATTTCTATACAAGGACCCCCTCTATTTCAAATTGATTAGTTGCTGCAACACTGCAGCAAGGAAGAACTTTCATTCGTTAAATGATGAGAAATATTTATTCACTTTAATTTTTTATTAACAAATTTTGATGATCAACTCTGCAAAGCAGAGTTAAATGTACAGCTAGCAAAGTTTGTTTGTGCTCCCACTGGTACCAAGCTGCATCCACCCTTGTTTTGCTAAACTAGTCAATTTTTTGGTTTGATAAAATCCCTATTTTTCCCCCTTCACATCTCCATGCTCTCTAAACCTACGATGCTCGGACTCGGGTACGGGTATGAGTACATATCTAAGTGTCGAATCTTTTATTTTCTAAAATGTAGAATACGGAGATATGACTAAAAAGAGTTCAAATTTCAGACATGGGTACGTGGGTACGTTTTTCAAACTTCAATTTTTTACTAATCTAGGATATCATTTTGAATAGACCAAATAAAACTAATTATTCACAATGAAGGAAATAAGTATTTAATAAAGGGTTAAGATGAAGAAAATAGAATTTTGAAGTTTAATTTCAATTATGGGAATTACTAAATGTTATATAAAATAGAAAATAAGGAACTTGAATGCAATTTGGACTTAGTGGAACACTAAGTAGCACTATATGTAACTCATTTTTATTGTATACAAACAAAACCCTAAACCACCGATACAAAGAAAAAAAGAAGAAGAAAAAAAGAAGAAAATGGAAAAAAAAAAGAGGAAGAAAAAGAAGGTAAAACCTAGCGCTGCCGCCTTTCTCCACCCTCTCGGCGACGACGTTGGGTTTATAGAGAGCAAAATTGGGAAAGAAAAGAAAAAAAAAAAAAAAAGAAGGAAGAAGAAGAAAAAGCAAAAACGACGAAGTGTCTGGTTGAAACTTAGAGGATTCGACACATATCTCATACTCATGTCGTGTTACATCCGACATGGGTACTCCAACTATTTCAAAGAGTCCGAGTATCAGAGCTCTAAACAAAGATTTTAGGTTAGCAAAATCAAGGCTCGTGCCCGAAAATTATTAGCCAATAGTGGAGGTGAATTTACAACATGAACTCGTTAATCTATTGAAATTTAGTAGCTTCGCCTCTCAAACAAATCAAAGGCGCAGGCGACAATATGACAAAATAAAAATAAAAAATGGTTCGTGTTGTTTCTGAGGATAAAACAGAAGCTCCATGATCCACTATTGGCAATCAAAACAACAATCAAGACATAGATATAGATATTTTTCACAATTGTTCGGAGGAAATCTTTTAACCTTCTTCTGGTTCCCAGAATACTCTTCTCTTCACTAATTTTCTCAAGTAGGTTTCTCTAATTCTGGATTCCAATTGCAAGCTTAGGAGTGCCAGGCAACAGACAAGAAATTTAAAAATCCAATAATAACTAAAGCATGTTTACACAATAACGGACATATAGACTAACATAATTATAGACCAGTCTAAGATTGAAAAGTAGACAGCAAAAGCAAATTAAAAAACACCAACTTTCAAGTGCATAAATATTACCATGAAATGTAAAATAAGCCAGAATGAAGGTTGTAGGCTTGAAGCAGCTAAACATATGCAGATAAAGACTTAAAATTAATACAATATGCACATTACAGAACAACCAATCCTACACAGAGAAATGAGACAGAGACCCATAATATATCTTTCCTGTTTAATAAGAAAACAAGAGCAAGCTATTAAAGTTCAAGCGTGTATAGCAATTCATATTGAACTGTAAATTCCCAGATCAGGTGGTGCGAGACATAGCACAGCTATCCAATTAAAACGATAGAAGAACCTCTCAAACAATGTAGCTAATAAAATAAATGTGTTGACGTTGTTTTCTCTCTCGTTCATTCATTAAAATCAGTAACCCTTCAGTTAAATTAAGGGCATTAATGCGGAATCGAAATGTTCTGAAATTCAAATAAAGTCAAAGCAGCTACATATGACTGGATAAATATTGGATTGCATATTTATAGATCTTCTTGAATAAGAAGATTATACCTCTATTCTCATGAACAACATAATTCCTAAGTTATGTAATAAATAAAACAATACACTCACTTTGATACATAAGTTTCCAGTGCAGATTATATGCTGGATCTTGCCTGGAACAAGCATGGACTTGAACTTTGGTGGCAGATCAGACGCCCTGTGGGGTATGTGCAAATCACCTAATGCCAGTACCAGAACCATTTATAACTCTTTGAGCAGACAGTTAAGATCGGCCTAGAATCTGAAAAGCCCCAATACCAAGCCACAAATTTAATACACAGAAAAAAGACAATTTAATTATATATCAAGAGTTAATACACGTTTTATGAATCAGCAATCCAATTTTACGGATTTTAAGCATAACCCAGAATCTGAAACTCCCAAATGAAGAAATTAATCATTGAACACAAACAAACTAAAAAATGTCAACTCTCCAATCAGAGTCTGAACTTAAAAAATACATTTGATGCGACAAAAAATGGATAATTTAACAGGAGTGGAGCCACCGGGGGTCTAGTCGGGGCAGTTGCCCCCACTGGTCATTTTGATCCTGGGTATTTCACCAATTACATTTGAGCGGCGGCCAGTTTTTTAAGGCAAGGAGACAACCGCATCAAAAATTCATGAGAAATGTTGTCGAAAAAATCACTGATTCCATATGAAGATTACCATCAAGAAACACCAATTTTGGAAAAAATAAATAAATTATAAGGAGTAGAGTTGAAAGTAAATCATTCACAGCAATCAGATCGAGTGCGATTCCAACATAAAAGCCCGTTTTACACTAATAAAATCCGATACTACCTTCCAATTTTGCTGTTGAGTAGAAATCTCTGCAACACGAAAAATTGGTGCCCAGGGGTGATTATTGCCTCCTTTTTTGCCTCCCCCCGTTTTATCAATAAAAAAAGTCTTAGATGTTTAAAAATTTAATTAATTCAAAAATTTAGAACATGTTTATATATATAACATTCATATGTTTAATCCACATTATTTTGAAAGAATGTGTTCTGGAATAGTAGATTGATGGAATATTTGTGGTTAAAAAAGAAGGAAAAGTTATTAATGTGATGAAAAATATTATTTTATTGAAAAATGTGTGGTTGAAAATGAGTAGATGAAAATTATACAAGATAGAATTAGTTAAAATCACGATTGTTTGTCACATCTCACGTTAACTTATGTCATATGAATGAGTCTGGATTCACAATTATTTTTTGTTAAACAGCCTATCCAAGGCCATAATGATGACATACGAGAACATGGTAGAAGGAATAACATGCCTTCAACTTTTCTTCTAACTACTGCAGCATTTATTCATAATTTGTAGAGATTTCAATTGCAAATGCTATTGATTACTTCTATGTAGTAAGGATATAATTACAAGAAATAGCCTATTTTCATAGAGAAATGCTATTCATCCCCACTGGAGATGCATCCTCAGTCTATGTGGCATTAAATAATTGGTGAAATTAAATAAGTCATTTAATTTCACCTATCATTTAACCAATCATTTACATCCACATAGATTGGGGATGCATCCCCACTGGGGATGAATAGCATTTTTCATTTTCATATATTCACCTATTGGTTCTCATATGAATCTTCTAATTTAGGAAACCAATATATAATATTCTAGAATACATACATACATATATATATACTGACGAACGTAGTTAAAAACAATTAAGCTACTTGTACATTCTCGTTGACATTCCTCATATATGTCAAAAGTCTGGCCAGTCTTGTGAAAGGATGTTACAAAAATCAATAGCTATGATGAACTTCATGTAAAAAGATATCAAAGTAAATGTACATGTAGCAAAATTGAACTAAAAATGGAATAGGGTAAAAAGAATATGGTACTTTCGAATTTTGTGACATCAATATACCTTAGGTTTTGCGGGGATGGCAATATCATCAGGATAGTGTTATTTTATTGGATTTTTCTATTTGTTCACACCCCCCTCACAAAAGAGGGAGCTCATAGTGGACTCTCTTATGAGAGGCTGTACATTGGAATGTCATATAGCAAAACCCTATTTTATTAGTTTTAGGAAGAGCATAGTTCTTTTTTCCAATAAAATAATGACACGTAAATTCAAAACTTTTTCTTATTTTTTTAACCATGCATTCTCCATCAAAAGGCCATTCTAAAATGTATTTTCATTGAAAAAAAAAGATGGGGCACAATCAGACTCCATATTGCGAGACATCTATAAGCACTCTATATGATGCATTCAATTTCCTAGTCCAAGGGCTCGGCTGACATGACTTTTGAAAAATCAAAATGAATTTTTGAGACTCAAAAGTTACTTTTAGATTCATTTGGCTAATTTTATGAAAATGATTTCGATAACTTATTGTGATTTCCTCTAAAAACACTTCTAGAATAGAAAATGCTTTTAAAAATTAGTTTTTAAACAAAAATTAAGGTAATTACTTCCAAAAACTCGAATTGTGCCAAATAGAACAATCTAGCATTGGATTACAGCATATAAATTCCTGCATTTTTAACAAAGAAAGTTGTAATGTTTATTTTCTGAGAATCTCGAAACTGTCCTGATTATTTTTGGGTTCTCTCAATTCAATTTGGAAATAAATTGTCTCGAGTAATATTGTAGTTATATTAGTGCATTTAAAATAACTAAAGTAACCCCCCCCCCCC